AGGGCTTAGGGCTTTGGTTTTAGGGTTTGGGGTTTAGGGTTGAGGGCTTAGGGTTTAGGGTTTGGGGTTCAGGGTTGAGGGCTTAGGGTTGAGGGCTTCGGGTTGAGGGCTTAGGGTTTAGGGTTTGGGGTTTCGGGTTGAGGGTTTTGGGGTTCAAGGTTCAGAGTTGAGGGCTTCCTAACTTAGGGCTTTGGGAAGACTCTTTAAGCCGTAACATAAAAAAATAATGCGCCTTGTCAACAGCATTTTTGTGAGCGTGGTTAGGATGCTAGCATTGTCGTTATTGCCGTTGTCAATGCCATTGTCGCTAGTCTTGGAAATGCATTGCTTCTGACGATTGCTGTCATGAGTGCTACAACGTACTGAATATCCGGCTGTCTCGACTCTCAGGCGAAGTGTGGTCAATCAGCATCAGAGATACCACTCGGATCCACTCGGGACCCCCAAAGATCGAGCCCCTCCAGGCCTCACAGACCAAACACCTTAAACCCCAAACCCTAAACCCTAAACTTCCCAACCGGCTACGCTGTTCGGCCGTGAACCCGGCCCTATCCTGGTTCTGCAATAGACCCCTTCAGTCGTGAAAATAGAGCCCTCTCAAAGTCCTCTAAGGAAGGAGATAGACCCGAAGTCCTCTAAGGAAGGGGATAGACCCACAGTCCGCTAAGGAAGGAGAAGGGCGTCTACGAGGATTACCTGAAATGGCAGCGGGACTACCAAAAATGGCGGTCTGCGGCGCCTAGGAGTTCCGCAGAGGAAACCGCCTAAAGTGCCTCCCAAGACTGGGGTCGTCGCTTCTCTTCGTAGAATACCTAATGTCGGAGGTTAGGGGCTTAGGCTTCAAGGGTAAAAGGGCTCGGCGGCCGAATTATCTGAAGTTATTGGCTTCTTCCACAGCTCAGCTGGCTTTTCTGCCCACGGAGCCTTCGACTGTCGACATCTGAATTCATGAGAAGCTTTTCCTTTGCCCCAGAGCTCCGGGCTGGAGCTCCTCTGTACAGGAGGCTTTTTGCAGTGCTCTCGAGGGAGAGCATTCGCTTTGATTTGGCCTTCCCAAAGCACCCACCAGACCCCGACCCCCGACCCCCCGGAACCTCTCTGCAACGCTGGCGCCGCTCAGTTGAAAAAGCTCGGCGGCGATTTGGGGGCGCGATCCGTCGAGTCATCTCGAGTTCATTTCTTGCAGCTTGTCTGTGAAAGCTTGATGCAACGTCGTGGTCCCTGTGTGGTTCATGATTTTGGAAGCTGATATTGACAGTTATTGCAGAACTAGCAGGCTTGCTGCATGACAGTTTAGCCCTCGAGCCTAACCCTAAACCCTGAACCCGCAACCATCACCCGCATGAGGGACTGTCGCAGTCCCCGACGGTCGGTGGTCTAGGCGAGCGCAGCAGAAGCGACGCGCACTTCAGCAAAGGGTCGGGCTTAGGGTTTAGGAGTTTTGGGCGTCAGGTCTCAGGGATGAAACTGGTCCGGGCTGGAGGATTGGGAGGACTTGCTTGCCCCCCGGCGGCCTTTGCCGCTCTTTTCGCCAGAGCCGCCACACTGATATTCCTCCCCTTGCGAGCTTCCGGAGATGTCCCAGCAGGACATTTTGATGCGCCATGGCTTCGGTCTAGTCGGCGTGATCACCTGCAGTGGAACGGCCTTCGCACCCTTCCGAGCTCTCCTTAGAGCACGGGAGACTGGCTCTCTGGCCGGCATGGACACGCGGTCCTGGCCACTCTACTTCATCAAGTCCATCACCGGGACGCTGTATGCCGTCATGCTGGGGGACATGTATGTGCTGCTGGCGAACGTCATTAGCGTGGTGATGTGGATGTATTTCTGCCTTGCTGCTATTGGCCTGCTATCACGTGAGGAGGGTGAGCTAGCACCGCCAGCCCCAGACGACCTGGGCGACGCGGGCTTGCTGATGCGGAAGGATGCTCTACAGCTTCACGAGCTTTCAAAGGCCTACCGCAAGAAGGCCATCCGGCGAACCGAGCAGCAGGTGTCCCTTGGTATGGGCCTTATGTTCGTCCTATCCTTTCTGACACAAGTGCAAGGGCAGGAAGGCCTTGAATTCCTTGATGTCTTGTCCGTGGAGCAGCGCTTGTATGCCTTTTCCTTGCTGAGCATGGCCATCAGCCTCATCTGTTACTCAGCGCCGATAGGGCGCCTGTGGGTACTGATTCAGAAGAAGGATGGCTCCTCCGTGTTCGTTCCCTATGCCCTGGCGCAGTGCGTGCACAACTTGGTGTGGCTGGGTTATGGCATGATCCTGGGGAATGTAGCTGTGATGGCGCCGAACATTCCCGGAGTCTTCTGCACGGTCGCGCAAATCCTCATCAAGCTGAGGCATCGCCCGGGTTACCCGGACTCCCTCAAAAGCCCAAGTTTGTCCCAAACCCCTAAACCCTTGAAGCCCTAAGCCCCAACCCCTAAACTCCCTAAACTCCCTAAACTCCCTAAACCCCTGAACCCCAATCCCAAAACCATGAACCCTCGAAACTCCCCCAACCCCCCAAACGAAGGTGGCCGGGGGACGCGGAAAGCTCAGATCGGGCGCCCGACGCGGCCAAAAGGAAGGAGAGCTTCGCCCAGGAGTCCTTTAGGGTTTCAGGGTTTCAGGGGTTTAGGGTTTTTAGGGGTTCAGGGTTTAGGGTTCAGGGTTTCAGGGTTTAGGGTTTCAGGGTTTAGGGTTTTAAGGGGTGTAGGGTTCAGGGTTTCAGGGGTTTCAGGGTTTAGGGTTTCAGGGTTTAGGGTTTTTAGGGGTTTGGGGTTTAGGGTTTCAGGGTTTCAGGGTTTAGGGTTTAGGGTTCAGGGTTTCAGGGTTTGCAAGGGTTTAGGGTTTGCCAGGGGTTTAGGGTTTCAGGTTTCAGGGTTTAGGGTTTCAGGTTTCAGGGGTTTAGGGTTTAGGGTTTCAGGTTTCAGGGGTTTACGGTTTAGGGTTTTTAGGGGCTTAGGGTTCAGGGTTTCACGGGTTTAGGGTTTAGGGTTTCAGGTTTCAGGGGTTTAGGGTTTAGGGTTTCAGCGTTTAGGGTTCAGCGTTTCAGGGGTTTAGGGTTTAGGGTTTCAGGTTTCAGGGGTTTAGGGTTTAGGGTTTCAGGGTTTAGGGTTCAGGGTTTCAGGGGTTTAGGGTTTAGGGTTTGCAAGGGTTTGGGGTTTCAGGTTTCAGTGGTTTAGGGTTTCAGGGTTTTAGGGTTTAGGGTTTCAGGGTTTTAGGGTTTAGTATTGTCAGTTTTCCTGTCTGCATCATCCTTGTGATTATCATGATTTTGAGTTTTGACTTTTCATTAGGATAGTTTTCGGGTTTAGAGCTCAGCTGTTGGCTCTTTGACATATGTTTATATGCACGTATATAGATACATACATAGATACATATATGTATATATATATATGTATATATATATATACACGTATAAGTAAGCACATACATAAACACATAAATAAGTGAATATGAATATGTATATTTCTATCTCTATCTCTCTCTCTGTGTCTCTGGAGCGTACCTCTCTATATACCTGTAATTATGTGTACATATATATATATACATACACATATTATACATACATACATACATACATACGTACGTACGTACGTACGTACGTACGTACGTACGTACGTACGTACATACATACATACATATACATTTATATATATATATGTACACAAACACACGCATACGTATACATACATACATACACACACACATGGAACAGGCGCTTGGAAGGTTATGTCTTAGTATCTACAAGGGTGTTATGTAAACTAATTGCTATCCGGGGCTTAACAAGGATGTTGTTCAGGGCTTCTAGAGGTCGCCGCGGGGGTTCTCTTCAGATTCTTCCGGCTGCACACTGGGCGCAGGCTCGGGCTCAAGTCCAGGGCATACAGCCGGAAAAGGAAGCAGTAATGCGGCCTATAAAAGCTCCTCTCGAAACACCTCACTTTGCGGTCTAGGGCTTAGAGTTTGCAGTGTAGGGTTTAGGGTTGTGAAGCACCACAAACCCTTCAAGGCCAAAAACTTAAGCCCTCAAACCGCAAAGATCCCGAGTTTGCCAGGATTCCAAGCTTCGATGATCCCAGGCGCCAAACCATGAACCCCACGAGACCACCAGACGGCATTCCATAGGTCATGTTACAGGGTTTAGGGTTTACGGTTTCGGGTGCGGAACAAGAAGTCATGTTCCCGTACCGTCCTTGTATCGTTATAGCATACTACACATGATCCTTGTAAACCCCCCAAGCCCAGCCGAACCGCGCAAAACACCATAAATGACCAGCCCTAAACACTAAACCCCTAACCCCTAAACCCCTAAACCCCTAAACTCTAAACCCCTAAACCCTAAACCCTAAACCCCTAAACCCCTAAACCCTAAACCCTTAAACCCCTACACCCCTAAACCCGAAAGTATCGGACTCCAAAATCCGTTGAATCGGTGTCGCGCAGGAGCATTCAGAGGGGGGTCTCACGACGGTCGCTGCCGGGACAGCGTCAGATAAGTGCGAGGCTATGCAGGACCGGGCTTCTGGGATGGGGTTTCGTGTTTCAGGGTTTCAGGGCTTCAGGGATTTGGGTTTCAGGGTTTTAGGTTTCAGGGTTTCAGGCATTTGGGGTTTGGAGTTTAAGGTTCAGGGTTTAGGGTTTCAGGGATTTGGGGTCTAGGGTTTAGGGTTTCAGGGTTTAGGGTTTCAGAGGTTTAGGGTTATAGAGTTCTTGCCTTTAGGGTGATACTCCTTTACATGTCCAACCCAGCGAGCTACTGCAGCATCATGTGTTAAGGCTGGCGGCCACTCGAGGCTTTAAGCTGGAGGCGTACGTTTGCGGCTTTGGATGACGCGAGTGCTTGGGTTGCTCTAAACACCCGAAACCCCAAGCCCTCCACCCAGGCCTTCATCCCCACTTCCGAAACCCTGAGCCAAATTACCTAACCCAAAGCCCTAAACGCGAGAATCCCAACAGGGTCAAACCCTAAACCCTAAAACCCTAAAGCCCTAAAGCCCCTAAACCCTGATGGGTCAGCCAGGACGCCGCCACGGAAGCGACCACGGCGTCAACAGAGGCCGAGACCGCCAATGCAGCTGGATGCTTGGAGTCGACTACAAGGTCTCAGGGTTCAGGGTTAATTTAAGGGTTTGGGGTTTCAGGGTATAGGGTTTTTAGGGTTTAGGAGTTTTTCGAATTTTAGGGTTTAGGGTTTTAGGGTTTAGGGCTCAAGGTTCAGGGTTTTGGAGTGTCGGGATTCTTGGTTTTGGCGTGTTCCGTTAAACTTGGTCCCTGAGTGGTACCCTTTTGCCCTTTTTATTTTAGGGCTCCCTTACTAAAACAGAAGAGTAGGAAAAAGGGTACCCTTATTATAAAGAGGCTACTTATGAACCAAGTAAAGGTTTCCGGTTATTTTTAAGGGGCAACGTGTTAGGGGGGCTTCCCAAAGCTTTAGGGTTTTAGGGTTCGTCCCTAAACCCTAAATAAACCCTAAACCCTAAACCGAATACTCCCAAAGCCCCAGCAGTCGGGAGCTTCGGCGCCAAGTAGCAGGACGCCTAGTGATGCAGTATGAGGGCCGTTGCGTAAGATGCCCTTAACCTCAACCGTATCACAAAAAAAGAGCCTTAGGGTAAGTCCTTTCAGAACCGTTGTAAAATGAGCATAAGAAAGCCCTAAGCCCTAAACCCTAAGCCGCATCAAGCCGAAGAGTTGGGAAAGCAAGGAAAGAGCCCGACGACCCTGGCCCAGCGCAGCGTGACGTTGCCGGACCTGGTACCCATCTTGCGCTCCGGCTGGGGTTTAGGGTTTAGGGTTCAGGGGGTTTCGGGTTTGGGGTTGAGGGCTTAGGCTTTAGGGTTGAGGGCTTTGAAGGAAATTCTAGCCGTCAGGGTTTAGGATTTCGGGGTTTAGGGGTTTATGGGTTTAGGGTTTAGGGTTCCGGGTATAGGGTTCAGGGTTCAGGGTTTAGGGTTACACCCTGCCCGAACGCGAACGCCAAGAAACCTAGCGCTTTTTATTAGGGACATATACAAGGAAATCAGAATCAACCCCAAGGGACGTATCTAAGAAAATCATCGTAAGGAGCCCCAATAGGGGCCTCAGTAATTAAAAGTACTCTAAGGCCCCTGCATTACTTGGGAGTTAAGGTAGACCCTAGAAAAAGAACCCTAGACCTTGCTGCTTCTGGGAGCCACGGAAGCCAAACAGCTGAGCATGTGTTTGGAGGTTCATGGGTAGTTATAAGTAGGGTTATAGGTAGCGTAAGTATAACTATAGCCTTATTAGAAAACTTGTAACCCCACTTATAACTACCCAAGAACCTCCAAGTAGCAATGGTTCCACTCATCGCCCAGCTATCTTTACATCAGACTATCCCCCAACACCCTGTTCTTATGGTTAGCACCCTGGTATTGCGTGCGTTCTTCAAGGGGCTACAGGAGGGACCCTTAAAGGGACC